TTCTGGGAGTTGAAGTCCACTCATCTTAAAGTGGCCAAGTTTGGACAACACTGTTTTAGACGAAGAATAGTCAGAATGGCTAAACAAAGAAGAGGCACAGAGTACAGTCTTTACTCTGTTTATACTCCACTGCCCCTTTCTGGTCAGGTCATGCTATTCTGAAGAATCAGTACCACTGGATTCATAGCTCCAACACCCCTTCTCATTGGCTTATGCACCAATCCACAACTCCTATTCACCTTTCAAAGGGTTTTGTGTCAACTTTAGGACAAAGGCTTAGAAAGTGTTTGTAAGCATCTTTTTTGGTGGGCGGTATTTTAGTCCCAAGAGATGAGTCCTGTGGGACACTTCTGGGTCTACGTACTTTGTAGTTTTCTCTTTATAGAAGAATTGAATACTTCCTTGATTGTTCTCAAAGAACTCTGTTGGCTTTGGGTCACCTATCCTAAAGTCCATTAACAGTTTATGTAGCCACATAATCCCCTGGCATGCTTGTGCTGCAGATACCTATTCTACCTTGGTGGAAGATTGCTTCTTGATTCCCAGCTGATCATTCCACCCCTATATAGGAAGAGCTGTCTGCTTGTGGACTTAAAATCTTCCTTTCATCTGTCCAATTTGCATCAATGTAGCCTATCAACTTGGTCTTGCTATTGACTAGAAGTCAGATCTAAGTATGCAAGGCCTTTTAGATAATTGCCCACCCTCTTGACTCAGATCTAATCTCCTTTGCTTAATACAGTCACATTCCTACGCAGAATCCCAACTGCTACAGCAGTGCCTGTTTTTTTTCACTGTTTATAAGTACAGGTAGTCCTTGGGTTATGATGACAATTGGGACCATGAACTCTGTCACTAAGTGACGCGATCATAAAGCATGATATCATGTGACCATGTCGCTTAGCAATAGAAATTCCAGAAGTCCTGGTTGCCATAGTTAAACAAGGACCATGCAACTTGTTAAGTAATGATAAGTAACCTGCTATCTGGCCTGGGCGGGGAGGGAGGTTGTCAGAAATGGGGTTGGCTAGCCCCCTAGAGGCCTGGTGTGGCTTCCATTGGCCTCTT